ACCCACAACAACCAAACACCAAACCAAAATAACCAAACCTAAGTTCTTTTCTGAACTCCTACCTGAACTTCTTGAAGTCCCTAACTAACATGGCTGAGCAGTTAAACTGCTTACTGGCCTCAAACAAAACTGGCGTCACTAACTTATCTTCCCAAAAACCTCTGCTTCCTGCTTTCAATCACCTGACCGATTGTCATCCTGGAGCTGGTCAGGTGACTGAGGGCAGCAGCTCATTCAGTCACACTACAGTACATGGCACTACTATGTACAACATGAACACACCTTCCTGCTCTTTTCCTCTGCAGGGCAGGTTAAGGTTGTGGTCCCATCATCCTCCATGCTTGCCATTAAGGACAGCAGCATTGTCCTCCCCTGTCACCTCGAACCTGAGACCAGTGCTGCAGGCATGGAGGTGAGGTGGTTCAAGGGCAGCTTCACAGACTTTCTCTACCTGCACAAGAATGGGAAGGAGACAGTAGGATCGGTCTATAAGGGAAGAGTCAGCCTGGTCCATCCAGATCTGGAGAAAGGCAACGTTTCCCTGTTGCTGAAAGACATTACAGCTTCAGATGAAGGAATCTACACGTGTCACGTCAGCCCTGGGCAGTATTTTGATGAGCGATCACTGAACATGCTGGTCAGAGGTGAGTTTAGACCTTGGATTCTTCTTTTTTCCTGAAGAGCATAATAATAATAAGAAAATATATAGCACCTTTATGGAAGTGCAGCAGAGGTTAGACAATGACGCAGACAGACACTAATTAAGTAAAAGCCTTTCTGAACACCATGTGTTCTGTGAAACGGGGAAGGTAATGCAGACAGGCACCGTGTCAGTACTGACCTCCTCTCTTTGGAACCTTGTTCACAGGACAGAACACAGTCATCCCAAATATGACTTCAACTTGATGGTTCAATTTATGGTATTCTGATAAACAAAAGTTAAGAACAAAGTTCTAAGCTTATAACTGTAAGAAAAACTATCTATATCCCCTGTTTTGCAGAGCGTGTGTTTGAATGCAGCCATCCTGTGAGACTGTACCTCTCTGTTATCGTGATTCCTGCAGTACTGGCTCTATTCTGCTTCTGGGCTTCTTTGCTTTATGCTCAAAGAAAGAAACAAGGTACTGTATCATCAGACGCAGTGTACTGGTGTACTGCCAGGCCCTGTAACACCAGGAGACTGAGGTCACTCTTCTAGACTGGAGTTAGAGTACGTTGTAGGTCGACCTGCAGGAGCAAACACAGCAGATTCACTCAGTCAAGGGTTTGTTCCCACTGTT